TTATCTCTGAGATTGTGGTTAATAAATTCGTCAAAAAAGAAGTGAAGAGCGTGAAATTTGATGTTCGACAGTAAACATGTAATAATATAAATATTTATATATATGTTTCACACCAATTTATCTTCTGAGCCACCCTAATTCACGGTGCCTCAAAATTATAACCTTGCCAATTCTTTGACCTCATTATTTATTTTCTTTCTTCACAATCACTACAAATACCGAAATTATTAGCTTTGCATTTGCCAAACTTCTTATCGCTTCAAATTGGATTTGTATACTCACTGATAATTGCTTCACTATCTACTAAAAAACTATAAATGAAAGCTTGAACAAAAAATGACTGATCTGCCGTTTTTTCAGTGTTGTCATATTGGTGCGTACCCAGCACGAAAAAATATTTGTTGCGAAATGGAATGCTAATATTATGTCAAGTAAAAAGTTTGTTCGGTTTTTTTTTAAGGATTTTTCAAAATATAATAACTTTGTGTAAATTTCTCCCTTTTTATTACTGGCGTAATTTTTTCTTGTCAAATGTCAAAAAATTACATTTTCAAGAGTGACATTTACCGAAATAGTACACTATTCAAAATAGCACATCGTATTGGAAAACCCTATTATTTTTTTTAATTGGTGTGACATACCACGCTCGTTTAACAACACAACAAAGATCATTGCTGTTAGTCGGTTCCTGTTGGTCGGTTCCTGTTGGTTTAATGTCTCGCCTGAAGTTCTCATTTTAAATAAGGTATCTGTGTGGATGTGCTTGCCAGCGGATCACCTCTACCTTATTTGCCACTGTGTCGCCAATTAGGAAGTATGTTTCGGGTCTTTGTCTTGCTGGTAGATCCAACTTATTGTAATATCTTCCCAGGCACAAGAAAACTTCGTTGTATCCAACATTTCGACATATTTTTGACTATCCACTGTATTAGTTGCGCAGTATAATTGGCCTACACCGTAATATGAAAAGCATATTTAAATCAAAATACTCGCTCTCTCATGCTTAACAGTATTTTAGGTGGTTGTTTTGTACCTCTTCAGCTGAACAGAATCATTTTAATTTTGACGAACCAAAGAATATTCCGCCACATTTCAGTGGGCTATTTCAAATGCACTTACTCGGAGCTCACTTTATTAATAATGTTTCACTTTTTCTTTAACATCACTTGTTCGGGACTTCTACCGTACAAATTACATTCTCTTTAACCTTTTCTAAGAGCTTTCTGCTATTCATAAATCTGTCTTTGAATTATTTTGACGTGCCGTACCAATTGAAGTCATGACAGGCTTGCTTTGTCGTGTTTCCTGTGGGTTTTCAAATTTCAATGGATTTGAAATCATTTTAGCAGAAGAGTCGATCATACTTCTTTGTTTGTTTTATCTTCTAAAAAAAAGAAGCTTTTTGATTGATATACGCTTTTCCTGCGAACAGTGGTTCCCTTAACCTACTACAATAAAAAGAAAAAAATAAATAAAAATAAAATAAAAAATTGGTTTTAATCTTCTCTTATTTTTGTTCAATTTACTTGGAATAAATTTATTTTTTTTTAAACATATCTTTAGGGAAATGTATGAACTTATCACGCTAAACTTCACCGAAAGACTGCTATCATTTTGACTGCTCATTAGTGAACTAGCTTTCAAAATAATTTAAAAAAAGTACCGTAAGTACTTTTTTTAAACACCCTAATAGTAACGATATTTTGTAATATTGTGAAGAAAATGCTGTCTGTTCTTCCACATATTCTCACATGTATGCTTAAGTACTTGCCTAGCGCTGCTATTATTTTGATCGCAATTGTAGCAAAGTGCGGCGCATAACATGGAGTGACTATCGATAACAGTAATAACACAATGATTTCTATTTGTGTAGTATTTATTTAATCAGTTTATTTTAATGCCACCAAACGCAATAATTTTCTTTTTTCAGTTTGATATTGGGAGTCCCCTTAGCTGCTAATTTTAGCAATATTTTATTTTATTTTTTTTAATTTAATTAGTCGTGATAAACAACAACCGCTTGCTCGAGTGTTTGCATATAAATATGTTTACAAACTTACATACATACATATATATGTATGCGCACATGATACGTAGATGATATGTTTAATATACGAAACGTAAGTCCACGTTTTGATATGCGAGAAAGAAGCTTAAGATTATCTTCTATTTTGGTATTAAATATTTATTTCCACACCTGACCTTTATTTCGTGATTACCTTTCAATTGAAGCTACCAAAATCCCAAAATTTACGCGAGATCGGTATTAAATAGAAAACACAGTCCTTCTATTGGAATATTTTTTATTGAATCCTTAAGTGCATATGAGAGGGTTATTTATGGAATGACTTATTCTACATAACTGTAAATGAATTTCATTGATACAACGAGGAATCTTCTCCTTTAAAGCACTGGTGGTTGTGGCTTTGTTGTAATAGTGTTCGCATAAAAAATGTTAAATGGTATAAAGTCACACGATCCAGGGGTCCAAGTCTGTTCACCAAAACGAGAAATTCACGATCTGGAAACGTCTTATCCAATTTCGGTAGCTAGTTGTACATGTAGTGATATCGCGCACCAGTTACAGAGACTACTTCACCAGTCTCGTTTTCAAAAAAGTATGGTCCCATTATGGGTTTCGTCCAAAATCCACATGAAACATTCACACGTTGTGGATGCATTTGGTTTTCGACAATCATATGTGGTTTATCAGAACCCCAAAAGCGGTATTTGGGGCGATTATCAACTCCATAACAAATAAACTCTCTTTGTCATATCAGGCTAAGTCATCGAGGTCTTCAAGCGGGAGGCCCACGAAATGAGCTGTCTCGATGGGCTCGGATCAGAGGGAAATGTGGGTTAGATGAGTTAGTTTTTTGGGGTTGGTTGTAAGGGGCTTAATTTTGGATAGGTAGAAGTTTAATCTGCTATACAATACAATATTCAGATCTAAGTTGCGTCAGTATAACTCGGGACTCTCGGTAGAAAATAATCGAAATTCGTTGCAAAAGAATTACCCCCCTTTTCACTGGAAGATCGTCGCTTGCTAATCAGTTTCTCCATAAATAAGCACAGTTACAGGTGACTACGATCTTACAGGGCTGGAAATGTCAAGCCACTCGAGTGTATTTCTGACATGAAATAAAAGTGCCTCATAAAAATCCATCGGTCATCGGAGATGTCTTCAAATAACTTGAAACTCGCTCGATTTGTTTGCAAAATATTAAGACGCATTTAACAAGTTGGGAAAGGCTAGGCCAAAAACCGCGAATATATAAAACTCCGCAAAACGATTTTTACCGATCCCATCTTCAGCTGTAAATTATGCAACGAAGTTCCTGGCACAACAAGCGCGCTCGAAAATACCATAGATTAGCTTTTCGTTTCCTTCCTGTCGGTCTTGCTGTCAGTGTTTCTTCCTTTTCTCGCAACTCCAGTTGTCTAAGCGGGTGGGGGAGAATGTGAAATGTATTCAAGTTGAGCACTAGGCTCGTTACAAAAAGTTGTGGACTTTACCCAATGCCATAGGAGGCACCTGACGCTGCGCAGACGCCAATCGCTTACTCAAGGAGCATGGATGGGAAGACGCAAACAGATCGATAGCAAGATATCTGACCTGGACCATTAGAAGGTAAATTCCGTTGCATACAATGAACTCTTTAGCCGTATCACTTCGCGGATCATTTGAGAATTGCATTCTTGCATACATGCATGAATGCAAAATCATTCATACATATATGCTAGAAAGCAAAAACCCAAATAACAGGAAGTAATTAGCCTGCGCCCAAAGTTATGCAAGGATTTACGCTCCTCGCGTAAACATTCTCCCCCCCCTAGACGGCTTAGTCGTCTAGAAACCCATAAGCGCCGCTATCCGGCTCGAAGGACCATGTAGATACACCGCGCGTCGAATTTGAACGCACCGGTGTATGTTTATATGCGTGAGAATAAACCAAAGAAAAATACAGGATTAGTTTTATGCCTTACTTGCAGACTATTTATTGAGTTAGAATATTTGGTTACCTGTACACTAATCTGTGCTTTTTTGATGAGGGTGATGGCTGGTAATTCGCTGTGCAGGACACGTCCGTTGGCCTTTACTGGTATAATCGCAATGCTAAGTAAGAAATTTAAGTTTGTCCCGTACGCCGTCAATATGTTAAAACCGTAATTCATGTATTGTGGTATTTAACGAAAGCTAACGTAGTGGTGAATATAAACACTAGGGTGGTACCATAAGGAGGGGTACTTTAGGCTTTTGGCCTAAACACCAGTAGATAATGCGCACACCCAGGGACGCCGTGCAGTGGGTCCTGAAGTGGCTATTGCTGCTGTGGCGCAGAATATGGAAGAAGACCCAAAAGTGCCTATTAGCTTTATAAAAGATTTTACGAAAGGATTTTGATTTGCTGCGGTCTCACTAAATCCAACACGTTCCACGTTCGGTGCATAGGCCCAAAACAACATGACCACCAATCTCGATTGTCACGAAAAAATTTTGTTCAGCCTTGAAGCTCACTCTCGGTTGAATGGGTACGTTAACAAACGAGATCTTCGCGTTTGGATGATGATGGAGATCTTCAAGCCGTTTTTGTGACGCCGTTTAGAGCGGCAGAGGGAATCTTTCGTACATTTGTCTTTTTTTTTATGAGGCCGGCTATTATGCTACCGCCAATAGGGCACGGTCTAGTGGCAGAATTGATGATTTTTCGCGTGAGTGAAGTTGGGAAATGTTCAGGTGGGCGACCTTTAGTATCAAGAAGACGGCGAAACCAACGAAGCAATCAAGTTTTTAAGAGAAACTTTTGGTGGGCGCATTAGCTCATGTCGTAGACCTGAGGTGGCCTCCAATCGTCCGATTTGCCACCGTTGGACTTTTTTGTGGGGTTATGTAAGGTCTCAGATAAGCACTGATAGAAGATAAGCTCGGCTAGAGTTTATGCGAGCCATCCGCGGATAATGCCAAACCCTTTTCTTTATAATAAAGTTGGATGCTAATGTGAAGCCAAATTATATGTAGCTATGGTGAGCAGTCTCTTTTATTTTCATTACATTATACATATATATTTTGTATAATTTTAGTGTGACAAAGCAAAATAATCAAAACTCTACCGGAACAATTTAAATATTAATATTGAAGTATGACCATTAAATCAGTCCATTATGACTTCTGCCAATGAGGCCACATCGTAATCTCCGCATACAACGCATTGCCCGGACATTCGGTGCTACGCACCTGCCGGTGTCCATGCAAAATGTAATCCTTACGCAAATGACCACTCTCTACCGAGTATTTAATAAAGTCCTGTGCGACGTCCAACATCGGTGCTGGTGGTAATTCATCTAATGTAAAGAGGAAGAGACAGAGAGGCAGACATAGAGAGGGGGAAGGAATATTTACACTATTTGCATATTGCTACATTGCATATCTTTGCAGCCCACCAACTACTTACCCATAAAATTACCAATTAAGAGCAGACCAATGCTGCGGCTGTTGTAGTTTGGTGCATGAGCACCGACCACTTCATAGCCGCGTCCCTCATACACATTGCCATCACCGCCCACAGCAAAGCTATAGCCAATATCCGTCCAACCATGACCGTCCATATGATAGTTCTGCATGGAACGCATTGCAGCCTTGCAGGCGTCCAATGTACGACAAACGCCCGGTTGATAGGAATGATGAAGGATGACATACGGTGCCGGGCCGGTGAAATTGCTGATGGAAGTGGGGATGCGTGCTGCCCATTCGGCGCGCGTGATTAAGCGCCAGTCACGCGTATATCCTAATATTTGCTCACTTGTTATTGTTGTCTCTGTAGTGAAGGCGGTATCGTTGTTGTTGTCGGGTATGGCAGCCGCTACGCACAACTCAATAGCTACGTAAATAAATGCAGTATAGAGCAGAGCTGATGGATGGGGTTGGAATGGAAGTGCAAACATTTGTGGTTTGCGGTTATGAAGCATAAACATTCATAAATACAAACACATATACAAACTCACTCATGTGCGCTCTCAGAACACATCAGCCAGCTTTCAACGCTACTCGCCGGCTATTATACCAATGTCCTTTTACACTAACACCTCGTTATGTTACACTGGTACACACACACACACACACGCACGCGCACACATACATACACTGCCAGGAGCGATTCACGCATTTGTATTATGGATTCATGAAATTTTGCAATATCCATAGTTCGCAAATGCAATTTCACTCGTAATTAACTCACAAGTAAACATGGTCATGTTGCCCACCAACAACAACACCAACAACAGCAACATCATCAACAATAGCAGCAGCAACAATAACAATCTGGCGTAGAGTAACAAGTTCAGTATGGAGTCTAATGTTGTGCGTGCGTATCCTACAGGTCCACCAGCCGTTGCATTGATCAATGCCAAAGTGCTGTAAATATTCGTTTGTTGTTGTTGCTGCTGACGCCAGTGATGGTGTTGGTGTGCTTTTTGCAGTCTATCGACTATTCTAATATTCAATAATTTCGTTTTATTTGTTTTTGTAAATAATATCTCTAATATCTCGTTTGGCGCGTTCGCTCTGTCTATTTTTGTTTTTTTTTTTTATGTTTTTGTTATTCGAACGTTGTGCACGTGTTTGTTGTTGCACTTTGGCGAGCGTTATTATTCCACTGTCATGCCGCTTGTGGTCATGTCCGCTCTTAATTGATAACTGAAAGCCGCGCCGCGTTCCGAATGCCAGTTATAAGCTTCAATTTCCGCGACTGCTGGCGGTTGTGTGCGCCGGCCTGCTGCAGTAGGGGAACGGTTGGTGCTGTCGGGGGTTCCGCTTAATCAACATAGCTGTTATGTACTTTTCCTCCACATTTTGCATTGCATTATGCACGCTCTTTCGTACACTGTTGTTATTGTGTTTTCATTATTTTTGCTATTTTTTTCTTATTGTTTATAATTTAATTGAATTTCAAACTTTTCGAAAATGTAAACAACTCAGTCATGATACTCGCGCTTGCCGCACAACTTGGTCGTTTGAGGTTAGTCAGTTGGTTATTGTTGTTTGCAATAGCTCACTTTCCATCTCGATTAAATTGTTGTTGTGGAGAACTTGGCAGTGCAAAGGTCGCTTTTTACAGTTATACCCCTCGAAAGGTAATCCACGACTGGAACAGTGAATCCCACATGTCGAACGGGACCATCGTGCTTTTACTGATGAACCTGTCAAGCGAAATTTTTCGAACCGAACTCTCTTCTCTCTTCTTTGTGCTCAAGTTTAGTTTGTACGAATTTTCGTGGAGAAATATTTGCAAACTATGATATTTTAGCATGGGTAGCATTTTGTACTGCGTTTTGAAAGATCCGGGTTCAAATCCTGGTACAATCAACGTGCAAAAGTTATAGGAAATTAATTTAATTAACAAAATAAGTTAAATTTTCTAAAATCGCCTCAGCGGCTACAAAGTACCGATTATAAATATATATAATATTTTGTGGAATAGAAGATAGAGAAGTAAATTTTTACAATCAAACATTGTAATAAATTTGTTTCGAAATGTTGGTTTTACCCAAAAATTATTGTTAGTTTGTTTAATTTAAATTTGATCACTGTCGCACGGGACATTGATTCGAACACGAAATCTGGTATCCAGCGTCGTGCGGGAATACATTAGATTTGCCGGGGTCGATTCCGAATAAGTAAGAGTTAAGTATATTTATGTAACTGCACCTTAATTGCCAGGATTATCCGGTTGTCTGGAGGCAGCTTGAACTCCACACCTGCAATACGAGCTGTTGTAGGCTTGGAAAGTTTATATGCCGACTTTCTTATTATGTCGTCATACATGCACCTGAAGAATGATAAAACTTTCAGCTGTTTCTATTATAGACTGTCTCTGACAACCAATTAATTTCGAAGAGTTTTTACAAGCTCGACGGTACACGTTTGAGAAAAGAAATGGATCAGATAGTGGATACTTATATTTTCCGTAAAAAATTAAATAAAGTATAACAACGTTAACAACAACCCTTATGGAAAGTTTGTTATTAGTAAAGTAAGAGTTTATGAGAGGTGTGAGCCTTTCCAAGAAGGCCTTGAGGTCGTTAAAGTTGACGAACGTCCTGGATGCACTCAACACCACAGCACGTCAATAATCGCGAAAAACGTGGAAAATGTGGAAGAAGTGGTTATGAACACAATTGGAGACCTCTATTTTGATTTTGGCATATATATTTATATACATATTTGTGAACGTTTTTAATGAAATATTCACTTTAAGAATACTGCACAGATAAAAAATTTAATTCTCCAGTCCTCTAATCACATTTCAAGAACTATCGGCACACGTACTTTTATATATTATAAATTACGCAATATCCTTCACATCCTCTTGCCAGTGCGGCCACTTTTTTATTTCGGCATAAAAAGCATCACCTGGACAATCGGTGCCATTGCGCACTTGCCGATGTCCGTATAAAATGTAGTCCTTACGCAAATATCCGCATTCCACCGAATATCGTATAAAATCCTTGGCCATATCCATCATTGACTGTGGTGGCAGTTTATCTGAAAAGGTATACAATACGCCAGCTGTGAGTAAGTAAACCATAACGTCAACGAAAAAGCGCTGCCACAATTCAAAAATTCATTCATTTCATTTCATACAACAGTGCGCTAAACCACTGACAGCAGCTATTGTCACCGTCGTCAACGAGTTGCTTACCGGTGAAATCGCCAATTAGCAGTAGTCCAATGCTGCGATTATTGTAGAGTGGAGCATGCGCCGCGACCACATTGAAACCACGTCCCTCATACACATTGCCATCACCGCAAATAGCGAATGTGTAGCCAATATCGGACCAACCGCGCTCCTTCTGGTGCAAGTTTTGTATCTCGAGCATGGACTTGCGACAGCAGGAGGGTGACAGTGCCACGTCGGGCTTATATGAGTGATGTATGATGACGAAAGGTGCAGGGCCATCAAAGGTGAAACGATCCTTTGGCGGGTGTGCTCCCCATGCGCTGCGGCTAATTATGCTCGATTCCATGTATTTGCATTCCGTGGGTGCTACAAAGGATGAGGGATAGTTGAAATTATAAAAAAAAAAAAATTATTTAACAACTTACCGGCGTGGATGCCAATATTTCTGGTCAACGCAGAAATCGTTGAGAGCAGCCAAAGTGTTGTTATTACTTTATTTCTGGTAGACATAATTTTGCTGTTTTCGGCTAAAACCCTTTGAAAAAGCTTTTGGTTTGTGCTAATTTCTTTCCCAACTAACAGCAGCTTGTTAAAAATATAAACGCTTGGTTACAACCGAATTCGCTCGAAAAAGAGCAGCACAGACTAGGTCGTTCCACTAAGCGTTAGTCGTGCTGTTTTGCGCTCAAATGTGTTGGAAATGAAGTTCGCGTTAGCTTTTATACATATGTATGTTTGTTATATATATGCCAATATTATTACTATTATTATTATTATAATTGTTGTTATTAGTGTACGTTAAAATTCTTAATATTGTAGTAATGAACAAAATGTGTTTTACTCAGTGATTTTTACTATTCCATTTTTAGTTTAAATTTGCGGACAAAAATCTGTTTTCGCTTTGATCATCATATTTGCAATGAAAAATCTGAAACAAAAACTGTTTCGCATTTCGGATAACTTAATTAAAATTATACTGTAGTATAATTTTTATTTACTAAAATACAAAAAAACTTGGGCTGTTTTTGAGTACATAGCGCGAGATTTCAAACAAATTATTTTCTTAATCCAAAAATTTGAATTTTTTTTTTTTAAATTAGCATAGAAAAATGTAACGAATTTACGTGTCGTGTGGCTTCATGCTTATAAAAATCTTAATAATAATTTTTAGATACATGAAATAGTAGCGCTTGGAGAGAATACCTTCCTTATTTTAAGCGCCTCAACCGATTTTTAAAGAAAACTTCTCCATTTTACAGTAACAGGGATATATTTCTCTATAAATAAGATATTTTTAAATATTTTTTTCTTATATATTATCAACCCATTGAGTACCAAAAAGTTCAACATTTTAATATAATAAATGTATTTTTTTTATAACTTTACCTTCATAATTTGGGACATCAATTACGGACATATAGGGTATTTACATTAGACTACCAGACAGAAGTTAAATCAAGTCTTCATTTTAGTTAGCAGAAAATCCCCCAAGCTCAACTGGTGGCACAGTGGTCACCACAGAGATACCTACATATCTAAATACATACATACATAAAATCTTGTCAGTAAATTGCTGTTAACATTAAATACAAATATCAAATATAGTTCAACAAGCAAACACCCACACATCTACCCATTCAAAGCAATTTAGCATATTTTAGAGTATCTTCACCGCGAGCATCGCAATACCGCAGAGCTTCACTTAAACTTGGAAACTAACACTTGTACATACGCACGCACGGCAAAAGATATTTAGTAGTTTAATCAAAGCTATGCGAATTGCTTGTATTTAGTTCAACTGAGTGCCACTGGAGTTGAGTTAGTTAGTTTTCCGCCGGGAATCCCCGAATCGCTTAGCACAACTGCAGTCCACATCTAGGTGGTACCGACAATTGTTGTCTTTGCTAACATACAAACATATATTTCGATACGAGTTCACCTGTTCTGCATTATTTACACCTTCCCCATATCCCACGCTACAAATACTCAAGTAAGCTTTGAACTCCTTACGGCTACTGCTCGTTAATGATGCGGAAATGCAACACCGGGTATAAGGGGTAAATGGAAATTGAGGTCTCAACTTTGTGGCTTTGAAAATTAAAAATATCTATGTATAGTTAATGATATGGAAATAATTTAGTTCGAATTCTGCATTATTTTGGTTAATTATGTCGATATATTTTGGTAATAAAAGAAAACCTTGTTCAATTTTACAACTCTAGGTTTTTATGTAATTTTATTTTCATACAAAAAATTTATTTCAACCATAAAATTCTATAAAATTAAATAAAATTCCATTAAACTAAATAAAATTCCATAAAATTAAATAAAATTCCATAAAATTAAATAAAATTCCATAAAACTAAATAAAACTCCATTAATTTAAAATAAAATAAAATAAAATAAAATAAAATAAAATAAAATAAAATAAAATAAAATAAAATAATATAATATAATATAATATAATATAATATTTAGAACAAAATTGTTACAAATTTTAAAATATCATTTTTGTAAATTTATTAACGACTGATTCTTCCACTGTTTGTCATTTTCTTAAATATTTATAAACCAAACAATCAACGAAACCGCTTTTGTTTTGCCGTTTAAACAGCGATTATTTATCATAAATATTTGTTTGATTGACGATCACAAATATTTTTCAAAAGGGGATTTTTTCACCACAAAAAGAAAAATATAATCAGATAGACAGATGGTTTGTATTTTTTTTTTTTTTGGCCTTTGGAGGTCAGATTATGATAACCGTTTCTTTAGACCTTAGGAGTAAGAACGAAAATCCAGCAGAAAGCATTTAAGAGCGCAAAATAATTATTGGCAACTAAAAACTCCGAAATAAAATTTTCCATTTTGTGAAAAATTTGCCATGTTCATGAAAGGTAAAAGGACTTTGCCAGCTCCTCTTTCTAGTTTAAATATATATTTAGAAATTTTGCTTAACCCTAAAGTATTTCAGTTTGTACTACATCAAGGCTATTGCGAATTCAATGGAATTGATAATTTAATAATATTTGTAATTTTTGCTCTTGAACAAATGTTCATGGTAAAATGCGAGCCTTGCATAATTCGAAAAGAAAATCACTGTTTTCTCGGAATTCAGCTGTTTATTTTGCTTAATGTAAACAACAACTGAAAATTCCCCTTGAAAAATAATAGATTTAGGCATGTGTTGAGCTTTGTAGTAGTAAAAAAAATAATAATAATTAACATTAAATGTGTTTTCTGCAACAAGAAGTTATTTTTTTTTAATTCCATATAACTCTTGAAGTGGTGTATAGTAGATAAAGTGAATAAATTTCTTGGCTGACTGGCAGCCACTTCATTTAAAGAAAATTTTTTTGATAATTTTTAAACTTATTGCTTTAGTTTTTTTAAGATCACTTTACCTTTAATGTTGAAAATCCGTGGAGCATAGTTTTTGGCGCAACTCTTTGGCTTGTGCATTAGTGAGACCACTACTTTTGTGAGATTCATCGGAATAAGAAGGGCTACACTATTCCAACTAGTTTTAAAGGTGATAAGAATTTGATGCCTTGTCACAAGATAAGCTGTCTTTATTGTATTCACGCTGAAATGAAGTCTTTTGAGAAAACATAATGAGTCCCTTTGTTTTCCTTTCATATTTCTACATTATCTACATATATTTATGAAGTTAACTACATCAATTTCAGGCTTTCAATGGCAGACGCCTGAATGGTTTTTGTTAAAATTATATTACTTTTTTGTCGAATATTCAAGGTTAACTACCCCTTGAAAAACTTATTTCTTAATGTGATTGTGCAAATCAGTTAATCATTTCCTTTTCGACCTTCGCTATCCATAATATTCTCTCGAAATTCACCTTATTAAATACGCTGTCCAACAAAAAAAAAAGCAAACGTTTTAAGTATTTCCCTTTTAGCCTCCCTTCTCCATTATCATTTTTTTCTACTTTTTGTGGTGAACTCTGTCCTTTCATCGCCGTTTCCTTTTTTAATTACAACCGCAACAGCTCACAGCTTTATCCTTTCACGTACAGTCTTTTCTGATACATTCGTTTGAGTTGTTAACGGTAACGCAGTAACTGTGACAATAAGCTGGTAAAATAGAGAAAAAAATAACAACAGCAAATTGAATTAGTGCATAAAATGAAAGTTGCTGACCCAAACAAAGTTTCCCCAGCAGCACACAGGCCGATATGCATACATACATGTACGTTGGTACATATAAAATTCATCAGGCGTGACCTCTCTCCAATTTTCTTTCGCCATATTTTAGGCACAAATTATGCCATGCCATGTGTAAGTAAATGGTCTTAATATTGTTGTTGTCTTCGTTGATGGCGTGATCCATAACAATTTCTTACACGAACTTGCATTATTAATAATGTTAATTATGTACAAATGTACAATTTAAATAAACACAAAACTTGTATACCTCTACATTAGGGTTAGTCTAAAAAAAAAAAACAAAAAAAAAGACAAAAAAAGATACAAAAAAAATGAACAAACAAATTTATTTTCTTTAGCCCGCTAATAATATTATATTATTTTTATTATTATATCTAGTAATATTAGGTGTAGTAAAAATTAGTCCATTATTTTTTAATTAAATTGAAGACTATAGTTATAGTTATCCCATATGTCAAATGTCGTCCGTTTTGCTCGATAACTTTTAGCAATTTTAATGCCTCTCATATGCCTCGAAAATTGGCAAAAAATTGGGACAACCGATTTCCATGAGCTTTCTTTGACACAAATTCTTCATCAGCTAAATCATGCACTTCATACAGAAACAGTTGGTAATCACTTGATGCGAGCACCGGGCTAAGAGGCGGATGCTTAAGTACCACCCAACTAAGCACTTGAAACTTTTGGTGAGTCACTACCGATGTGTGTTGTCTGGTGATGTCCTAATAAAACACAAATCGCCCCCTGGTGGTGAAAGCTGTGCGCTTCTAGGCGATTGCTTCCTTCAGACTGTCCAATTGCGGACAGTGCAGACCTGAATTAAAAGTTCTGCCACTGGAAAGCAGTAGTGAATGATTTTGTGCCAATTCTACCAAAAGCACAATGAAATCTTCCTGACTCGCATACTGGCTTGGAGAGCGTTTGTGCCGGTTCACTGCCCTTCTACACAACCGTTTTCGCTTGATATTGCCATAAGTGATCCAGAATTTATCACCAGTCACCATCCGCTATCTATGAGGTTTTTTCTGCTTTGTCTTGGCACCCATACATCGAGTTATTTTGTTATCCAGTCCTTTTTAAATGGTTCCAAACAGTTTTTTTTCTGTAATACTTAGTTCATGGGTAACCAAAACAGTGCACGCATGGCAGTCAGATAATTAGATAATTTCGATGATTTTATCATTTTTTTTCTACGTCAAAATTACCGGAAAAAAATCGACGAAACCAAAATTGTGGTTGATTAACTGTTACAGTACCATAAATACTATTTATATTTTCAACTGTCTGTTTTGCGTTCTTGCCTTTAGCGAAGCAAAATGATTGAATAGGGCAAATTGTCTGGTGGAAATAAATTTTTATTTAATATTTTTTATTTAAATTACAGCGGATTCATCGACATTGTTTATCTGCTTATTGTTTAAAATTGTTGTGTGATATGTCTTGATCCCACTTGAACTTTCTATGGTTTAATCAATGATGGGCTCCTTGATCAGTCTTTTTTTTTAAGAATATTACTTTTATCATGGTCG